TACAGCACCCACACTGCCATCCCTGCACTGCACCATAACCCCCCCTCCCCCTCCTCCTGATCCTGTAAATCTGCCACAATCAGGGAAATCCACGCTCGCTGCATCCAACTGGAGGTTGTTGGTGTCACACACACGCATACACTGCACTGCACCCAGATCTATGCGTCGCACCCGCTGCACCCAGGCACATGATCCCTGCAGCCACCATCGACTTGTGCTCTGCACCACTGCAGTCAGATTGAGTCACAGATTGCCTCCCCCCATCCCTCCTTCCCAGTGTCACCTTGCAGATTGCAGCTAGTTGGAGGCTACAGTGTCACACGCAGAGAAAGATGGCAGCCGGGGAGCAGAGACGTGTATCGCACCTTGACGGTGCTCCGATCACAGAGAGGGGGGACAAGACACGTAAATCCAGGATTTGTGCTTTGCAGATTGCAATTAGGTGGAGCGCGGTGCTCGCACTGCCCCCAGATGGAGGACGGGATTAGGATTGTGCGTCGTACCTTCTAAATACATCCATGGTGCTGAGGAGCACGCTACACACACGCTGCAATCAGCTGCACGATGGGTCACACGCTACACGCGCCCAGCTCCACGTTGGTGTAACACACATGCTGCTATCGGCTGCACGATAGGTCACGCGCTACATGCACCGCGCTTGCCACGCACCCAGCTCTACACCGGTGTAAAACACACAAGCACACGGGTAGCAGATCATGAAGATGGACGCGGCACACACCATTCGCATTCACCCGTACGCTGCAATCAGCGGCACGATAGGTCACACGCTACGCGCACCGCGTTTGCCACGCACACAGCTCCACTTTGGTGTAACACACGCTGCAATCAGCTGCACGATAGGTCACACGCTACATGCACCGCGCTTGCCACGCACTCAGCTCCACGGCGCTGTAACACATACAAGCACATAGGTAGCAGATCGCAAAGATGGACGTGACACACGCCATTCGCATTCACCCATGCGGTCACATCACGTGACATTCACCCAGCGTCGCACACAGCCGCGTGGCACCCGGTAATGTAATTAGTCTCGTGGAACACACACACTCCATTCGGCCATGTTGGTATTTTCTTGCTGGTGTTAGAGTGACATCGGTCTTGCTCATTGCGCTCTAGTGACACGCCATAGTATCATTGTGACATGTCTGTGTCACGTCCCATTTGTGGGCTCGTCACACATGTTACAATCTGATTGTACGATCAGCTTTAGGTTTACCAAAACCATGTAATATGAGGACCTACCCAGTGTACCCAATCAGACAGGCCCTTGTACTACAGGCGAAGGAGATTATACGTGTGTGGTAAGTCTCATGTAGGGCGGGTTTCTTTGCTGAACCTCAAACATCTGAGGGGCCGCTCTGGGATTTTTACCGCCTGAGGAAGACTGCGTTAGGCATACGGGGTTAATTTCAGTGCTGGCCAGGATGACTAGAAGCTCTGAGGGCAATAAATGGACATAACTGAGACGGATAAATTCTCCTGCAAAGGGGGGATCTGTGACCGGCGACAACCACTCTGATGGCTCCTCCTGTATGTCTGACGTCACCGGGTAAGGGGGGGGGGAGGGGGAATGGAGATACGGCATATAGGGTCAGTGTCAACAGCAGGGGTAGCCAACTCCGGCCCCTCAGTTGTCCTTTAAATACAAATGCCATCATGCCCCTGCCTCTGGGAGTCATGCCTGTACTGTCAGTCTTGGGACTTGTAGTTCCACAACAGCGGGAGGCCAGAGTTGCTCACTCCTGGTCATCAGCAACCTCTGCAATCCTTCATAAGACAATACTGGATTTCTGCTGCCTTCCCATGTACATTGATTTTCTATGTTTAAAATGCCTCAAAAGCCCCTCTTATGGGGCCCCCTCTTCCAACCTCCTGGGCCCCATAGCAGCCATGTGATCTGCTATGGCTATTGTTATGCCAGTTCAGATTAATACCATTGGCTCATTGTAAAAAGCGGCCCGGTGGTGACTATAACAAATGCCCACCGATATATAAACACATTATTATACAGCGCAGCACACGTGACACGCTGTTGGTGGTTGGTTTCACGCGTAAACTGTATGTTCCCGTCGCCTCACGCTCGTTCCATGACCCATAGCAACCGATCAGAATTCAATTAGCTGCAACCAAACATGATGGGTTCTGGGGGGGATTTAATAAAAACTGCAGAAGACATAATCCAGTGCAGTGGTCTGTAATAACCAATCAGCTTCTCTCTTCGGTTTGTTCAGTTAAGCTTTGAAAATGAAAGCGAGAAGCTGATTGGTTGCCATGGGCAACTGCTCTAGTTTTCATAAACGCCCCTCAATGTATGTTTTCATCTTTTTTTTTTGGTGAATCTTTATGTATACCTATACAATTTGCACACATTCTGTCTGACAAGGCATGCTGGGACTTGTAGTGCCACAACCCCCCCTTGGGAGCCACATTGTGAATAGCTATGGGGTGACAATGATGCACGCTGGTCCAGGCTACATGTCACTCACAAACACACACAGATGGCCGTGTAACACTGACATACAGGCTGCCTCTGAGGGAGGATTATGTTACCTACAGGGGGGAGGGAGAGCCGGGCCTATACAGCCTGAGGCAGCAGTTAAGAGGGCCGCATCCTACCCGCAGGCCTTGTGCTGCAATTGTTTACATAATGACACAAAACCAGCTCCATTCACTAAGCTTTCACCATCCTTATCTGCCATAACTTTCTTTATTTTCAGTCACAATCGCTGCGAATCACAGCCACCGGGCTGAAAATAACGATTGCTATGGTAAACAGAGACCAGTCAGGAAAATTTTAAGAAACAAAAGGAGACCTGTAGCTTTCATTCCGATTCCCTGATTCGTTGGATGAAGGGTGGCTGCTATGGGCAACAGGTCTTTTGTTTTCTCGCTTTGTAGCGTCTAGGCCTCACCAATAGGCTTATGCATGACAAGTGTTGCCTGGAGCAACCAATCAGATTCCCTGTTTGAGTTTGGTCATTGGGATGCTTTTGCTATGGGCAACCAGGGATGCTGGTGTGAACACACTTTTAATGGCGGAGGTCATGCTATAGGAAAATTCTGCGCTCGCCGTGTTTGGCCTTGTCATCTCCTTTCTATCGATTAGCATTGACAGCGCGTCCCGTTTTTTAATAGGAAGTAAAATACCCTCCAAATGATGACCCTGCTTGTTGCCCATAGCAACCAATATATTTCCCACTGTTACGTCCCCAGAAGATGAAAACAGGATTCTGATTGGTTAATGAAGCAATAGGAAATGCTCATTAACAACTTTTACATATAGAGATTTTTATTGGTTGCTGAGATTTGGAAACCGTCGCTTCGGGAAAATAGGGGATTTGATCCAAGTTGCGATCGAAGGACGATTTTTTTGCCTCGCTGTCATAAGGTCTGAAAGCGTATGGCCGGTCTTCAGCTCACCACACACATTACAATCTGATTGGACGATCCCCTATAGATCCACCCCCATATTTGTTACGGTTGTATGATGTAACACAGTTGATAAATATGTCCATTTTGGGGTCATGTATAAGACGAGAGGGGCAAACTTAAAATAAAAAGACATTTCGTGCACAAAAAATGATAAAATTGGGGTCAACGACGCACGATTTGGATAAGACGGTATCAGAAGAAAAACAGAAAACTGTAGACCTCCGTCACGCTTCCAGCTCGCCCTCGTTTTCTAAACACCCCCCCATTGGAATTCTTCTGCATCAGGATTCCCCCACTGTCATTTTATTATGCATTTGCACAAGATGGCTGCCGGTGAGCGCGGGGCAGTGTGGGTAATCCGGGGGTGTAGACGGTGTACTGCGTTATGTTGGAGGGCGTGTAGGGACAGGATGTCTGAGGAATGGCGGAGAAACGGCGTCGCCTCTCAGCCGTCACGTTTTTAGCTTCGGACGCGCTTATTGCACCTAATCCTTCCCGTAAAAAAAAAGATGAAAGGAGAGGAGAGCGTGGCTCCACACGTCCCCTCGTAATCATGGCAGGCGAGACAGAGGCCCGGATATTATGCAGCATCATGGGGGGGAGAGGACATGTTCTTAAAGGGACAGGCCCTACGCTGATCTCACAGGAACATACAAGCTCCCCCCCGCCACCACCCTCCCCGTTCAATGACATTTCTGTCTTGCCTTCAGTTCCAATCGTCGCTCCATCGCTGCAATGTACGTAATGTGTGTGTGTTCATGGAGGTGTTGTGTCTGGGTGTATGTCATCATCTAGCTGTAGATGTGTTGTACATTGATCAGTCAGTGATTAGTTATATCTGATTATCTATTTTATATGAATATGGATCTCTATTGTATCTATTATCTATCTATGATCAATCTATTACCGTATGATCTATCTATCTATCTATCTCTCTTTATTTTTGTTTGCATGTCTGGATGCAAAGAATGGATCCTGTCTGCACCCAAATGCAGTTCGGGTGTCCGTATGACAGCGTACAGCCGCGTCCTCCCATAGGGAAGAACAGACAGTCACACACAGCCCCTGTCCCTCTCGGGATCGGCTGTTTACGGGCGTGCGGTGCAGTGTGAATGAGGCCTAAATGTGAAGTCTGTGCTCTCCCTGTATCTACCTATGATGACAAATTATCTCTCTTTTTTTCTCTCACTCTATCTATGGCTGCAACTTCTTTCCTTCCGTGAAATATCTATGGATTCCTCTTTATGACTGCAATTGATTTCTCAATGTATGAAATCTCTGTGGCCCGCCCTCTGTATCTATATATCTATATCTTTCTGTATCTCTCTCTGTATCTTTCTGTATACCCCTCTGTATCTCTGTCTCTCTCCCCCGTCTCCCTCTCCCCCTCCCTCTCTGTATCTCTCCCCGTCTCCCCCTCCCCCTCTGTATCTCTCTCTCTCTCTCTCTCTCTCTCTCTCTCTCTCTCTCTCTCTCTCTCTCTCTCTCTCTCTCTCTCTCTCTCTCTCTCTCTCTCTCTCTCTCTCTCTCTCTCTCTCTGTATCTCTCTCTCTCTCTCCCCCGTCTCCCTCTCCCCCTCCCTCTCTGTATCTCTCCCCGTCTCCCCCTCCCCCTCTGTATCTCTCTCTCTCTCCCCGTCTCCCTCTCTCCCCGTCTCCCTCTCTCTCCCCGTCTCCCTCCTGTATCTTTCTCTATCTCCCTCCTGTATCTCCCTCTGCATCTCTGTATCTTTCTGTATCTCCCTCTGTATATCTCTCTCTCTGTATCTCCGGCTGTATCTCTCTCTGTATCTCTCTCTCTCTCTGCATCTTCCTGTATCTCCCTCTGCATCTCTCTCTCTCTCTCTCTCTCTGTATCTCTCTCTCACTCTCTCTGTATCTCTCTCTCTCTCTCTCTCTTTGTATCTCTCTCTCTCTCTCTCTGT